AAAGATAATATCTATCAAGATCCCTATGATTACTCTATACAATTATTCTCTATGATTCTCTCATTTATTATATGATTATGTAGCTCTCCTATATATAGCTTTGTAATTCTCATCAATAATGCAACACAATATTCTTATATTCAATAGAAGTTACAATCCTCTTTCACCAAATGGTATCTAGAAAACCTAAGAATTAAGATGATGCTCTTTGAAATTTATGAAACGTTTTGACATTAGACAATGCTTGTTCATCAACATTCTCAAAGTAGAAGATATGATCATACTTTCCTAGAGGTTAGACTTAAGAAGGCACAGTAGTGTAGCGGAATCGAAGAGAGTTAAGCAAAACGACCAGACTCTTTTGAAAAGAACCTGATCGAGATACACAATCGGACGAGTGATTTGGCGACATATAAAGTTTCTTACCTTCTCCGAAACCCTGTGGAAACATCATATAGCTGAATCCATATCTTGCTTCACACAGTTTCTTATCAGATACACTATTCCAAGTGAGATTTCTCGAAATTTTCTGAATAATATGTTTATACAATTCTTACTTGACCAACACAGCATTCTCTATATAGTGAAACGCTTATTGATCGGACTTGGACGTCAATGATCATTCTGAAAGAAAGATTACAATTAGTATGAAAGAAAGTTTACTAAGTAAAATTTTCATCGGATGAAACAATATGCTCGTCAAGATAAAGATAGAGATAAAAGCTCCGAAGTATCTCTATCTGAGCTTCTTAACATACAACACTATAATCTCTAAGAGTTGAGGACAAAACTGCAAATAAATCGTTATTAACGAGTTGTTACAAGCTAAAAACTGACTAAAGAAAATCGAATTAAGAAATATAAGAGAAACAAAGCAAGTGACCGTAAAACACTACATCCAAACAAATTGGCTAGCACCTTAATAGAAACATAAACCAAAGAAACAAAGGACTACATTCAAACAATTTGACTACCTTATACAAGTTTATCAACCGCAAAACAATGATTCCTTATATTTTATAACTTGTGCAACAAGGCAAGATACATACTCAATTGAAACCTAAATATGACACTTAACAAACGAAAATTAGACAGCCGCCTTGATTGGCCTTAACAAACGAAAATTAGACAGCTGTTTCAAACTCCTAAACCTAAATAGGCCAAAATATGGCCCAAGTGATCTATCGCCGATCTGGGATTGTTGTTACAATTGGTCCCCGTCAAACCAAACACGACACAACTTTCGCCGGGTTGAGATTCTTCTGATTTTGGAAACATCATCCTCATAGACCCTTTTTGATAACACCTATCAGCAGCACTGTTCTTCTCTCGATTAATGTGATCTAAGGAACATAGTGGGAGCTTTTGGATCCAATATCTAATATCTCTTAACATATTAGCTATTTCCTTGTAGTCTTCCCTCCTATTTATCAGATTTACGAGTTGGAGACAATCACCTTCAAACCAGACCTGTCTAAAATCCCTTTAGCCAAACCATTTGTAGAGCATATAAGAATCCCAATGCTTCTGATTGTAAAGAAGTCCTCACCGGTTGTACCTTTGCGTAGCCTGAGTATATATGTGCTCCTGCATGATCTCTAATGATCCACCCAATCCCAGTCATCTGAGAGCTGTATATAAAACTTCCGTCAAAGTTGCATTTTAACCAACCAAACGGTGGTGGTTCCCATATGGCATTCCTCTGTAAAGCTATGGCATTCCTCATTGGAGACTCTCGTTGCATTTCTTCCACACTTTCCAACCATTCCAATACACTATCTTTTGCTTGTTTCGCTTCTTCGTTTGGATTGAGCATACGTTTATTGAAGATGAAATCATTCCTACTTTTCCACAGAATCCAACAAATCCAAAATGGCAGTATTATAACCTCTTCTGGATTCTGCTGGAGATCATGTAGTTGGAACATTAGTTGGACGTTATCTTCCAGCTCCAGGTTAGTGCCATCATAAGCAAGAATATCTGCGCATCTCCATGTAGCCTTGGCATGTTGACATGCAAATAAGACATGGTTTATTGTTTCCTCTTCGAGACATCACCTTTGACAAATTGGATTTATATTTACCTGCCGACTCCTTAGTCTGTCCGCTGTTGGAATTGCCCCTGACAGAGTTCTTCATAGAAAATGTTGTATTTTAGGCAAAATATTTAATTTCCATACCTGGTTTTTGATCTCCACACTTCCCATTGGCGGTAGTATACTTTCTTCCTCCATGTCTAGATGCATTGCAAGCCAGTATCCAGATTTAACCGAATATTTGGCATCCTGTGTGTAATCCCATATATATGTATCCCTCTCTGCATTCATGGAGATAAACATCCTTTTTGCAATACTAGCATCGTCAGAATTAAGAACTTGATCCACCCATTCCTTATTCCATTCTTGTTTACCCCTTTTCCATAAATCCTTGACTCTAATATCTTTTAAGAGTTCAGAGTTTGCATTTGTTCCTACTAGTCTCATTGGGGTTATGTCTAACCACTTATCATTCCAAACGCTTGTAGATTCACCATCGCCTATAAGAACTCTAAGTCCTTGTTGTAGCAAGTCTTTCCCTGCTTGAATTGATTTCCATCCGAAAGATGGCTGCCATCCACACTTCGACTGTAGGAATGTCGAATTGTTATGATAATAGCCTCTATACAGTTGCGCTAAAAGCGATGTTGGATCTTGATATATTCGCCAAGCTTTTTTAGCAAGTAAAGCCTTATTGAGACAATTCAAATCTCTGAACCCCAATCCTCCTTCTCTCTTTGGTAAAGAAAGCATTCTCCATGAGATCCATGATATTTTCCTTTTCTCATGATCCGTTCCCCACCAAAACTCTGATAGTAATTTGTTGATCTCTTCACAAGTCGTCTTAGGTCACAGGAAGCAGTTCATTGGGTAGACTGATTTAGCTTGAAGAACTGATTTTATTAGCACTTCTTTCCCAGCAGGTGACAGAAATTGGTTATACCATCCTCCAATGGCACTTCGTATTTTCTCAATGACAAACTCAAAACTTTCTGTCTTCTTACGACCAATGTATTCCGGTAACCCCAGGTATTTCCCTTCTCCACCACTTCTTTCAATTCCCAGTATCTCCTTAAACAATATCTGTTGATCTTCTTGTATCCGTGATCCAAAGATGATCGAAGATTTGTTACCATTTGCCTTTTGGCCAGAAATCTTTTCATAGTCGTCCAGGATTCTAGCCATCTCTTCACAGTCTTCAAGGGTAGCCAGACAGACTGCAAACAGTAGATGAGATATTGTCGGGCAAGCTTTGGATATTCGCATTCCTCGAAACAACTGGTTACCCTCTGCATTAGAAAGCATTTGACTAAGTACTTCAGCACACAACAAGAACATATAAGGGGATAGGGAATCCCCTTGTCTTATCCCTCTCGATGGTATTATCTTCCCATATGATGCTACGTTACTCAGAATAGAATATGTCACCGTTGTTACACAGCTCATGGTCCAACTAATCCACTTTTTGTCAAATCCCATCTGGTGCATTATTCTTTCTATGAAATTACACTCCACACGGTCATATGTCTTACTGATATCAGTTTTAATTGCCATGTATGTTTCTGAACAGTCTCTTTTTGATGTGAGAGAGTGCATCAGCTCATGTGCGACCAGAATATTGTCTGTAATATTACTTCCTGGTACAAACGCTGCCTGAGATGGAGAGATGATTGAGTTCAAGCATTCTTTAAGTCTGAACACCATAACTTTAGCAATGATCTTGTAGCTAATGTTACAGAGACTTATTGGCCTATACTCACTCATTACTGTTGGCTCTGTAACTTTCGGAATCAAGCAAATACTGGTGTGGTTCACCTCTGGTTCCAACCATGATGTATCGAAAAACTTCCTTACCATTGCGCAAATATCTTCTTGGATGTCCTTCCAAAATTGTTGATAGAATGATGTCGTGAATCCATCAGCTCCAGGGGCTTTGTCTGCACCAATGGAAAACACTGCATTTCTAATTTCCACGTCAGTTAAACGCCGAATTAGTTTCTGATTCATTTCGTCTGTAACCTTCTTTTGTATACCATGAAAGATGCTATCCATTGAACCAGGATTAGTTGATGTGAACATGCATTTGAAATAGTCCTCTGCAACACTAGCGATGGCATCATCTCTGGTGTGAATGATTCCAACTTCAACCTTGATCTGTTTTATACATGTTTTGGCTTTCCTAGCCTTGGTTGCTCCATGGCAATATTGTGTATTTCTATCTCCTTTCTTCAGCCATATCTTTCGACTCTTTAACCTCCAATACTCCTCCTCTTCGCGGTATGCTCTGTTCAGGTCTTTCTTCATCTCATGAATTTCTTTAATGGGAATACTATGGTCTCTGAACGCCGCATTAATCTTTTCCCTCAGTGTTTCTATTAATTCTGCAGAGTTTGTTTTATTCTGTTTCTTCCATTTGGCCACAGCCCTGCGGCAAGTTTTGAGTTTACTCGTGACTAGCTGAGGCCTATTATGTGCTGCAGTCCATTCTCTTCTTACCGTGCTCACAAAATTTTCATCGTGGAATAACCTTTTGTCATAGCAGAATTGTCCTCAATATTTGACAGGTTCGTATGCCACAATTATAATCATTGGCCGATGATCTGATTCTGCGAGCCCCAAAAACTCATTTTCAGATTCAGGGTATTGTGCCAGCCACTCTGAGTTGACAAAAACTCTGTCAAGACAACACTCAATGATTTCATTCCTTCTCCTTCCCACCCAGCTATACTGATTCCCTTTTGATTTGAGATCCTTCATTCCACACACTTGAAGCATCGTCTTAAACTCTTTAAAACTACTTTCTCCTCTTATTCTTCCACCCTTCTTCTCTGTTTGATCCACGATTTCATTGAAATCGCCACACATCATCCAAGGTCTTATTCTTGTTGTGGCTAATCTCTGTAAACGCTCCCATAAGTGGTGTCTCTCACTCGGTATTGGATTGCCATAGATACAAGACAAGTAGAACTTAAAAGATTTAAATACAATGGATAAGTCTACAAGCCTTGAATCAAAGGAATTACATAGGACAGAAACATGTGTTTTCCAATACACAACTAGACCACCACTTAAACCCTGAGGAGAAACAATATGCATATCATCGAATCCTAGCATTACTCCAATGTCTCTCACAGAGTTGTCTTGCTGGTTTGTTTCCACAAGGAACAACATGTCCGGGAGATACACTTTTTGCATCTCCTTTAGGCGTCGAACTGTCAGGAGTTGTCCCATTCCCCGACAGTTCCAAACTTCTACTCTCATGGAGTTGCTGGTGGATTAGGGCCCACCGTGCCTCCAAGGTCATGAATCAGATGAAATGCAGCCTCATCCTCCTCTTCATAATCCGCTTGAAGCTTCTGCAGTGCCCCTGGTCCACACACCAACTTAACAGGTCCACTCATGAACTTGTCAATAATCGGCTCGGTTGGTTCCACCTCCTCTCTCATTCTCTTCCTGGTTGGAGTTGAAACCTTCAAGCCTGTAATCAAATGCATGGGGCGAAAATTGTATTGATATGTACTAGGATCAGCTTCCGTAGATGAATATGACATACCAGAATATGCACTTGGATCTCCTAAGTAGGTACCATATTGAGCCGATGACTCCTCAGGTGAAGCAAAGAACTCCTCTCCCTCCATATTTCCATTTGGAGTCGTCTCTTCAGGACATTCCTTCCTCTGAGTCTTGCTACTTTCTCCCTGATCATCCATAATCCAATCATCAACAAGCTTATCAATAAAAGCTCTTTTCCTGTTTTCTGTATCACAATCCTTCAGAAAATTCTTAATGAATGCTTCCTTCCTACGCTCTGCTTCAGGACCAATGAATTATGTTCTTTCTCTGATGAAATCTGTCATAGTTATGTGAAAATTTTCATCAGAAAAAGGAATTAACTCCTCACCAGAATCATCTGCTTTCTGGACCTCCTCATGTTCTGCATCTCCATCATCAAGAACAGCTTCGTCATTGATTCTACCATGGGGCATTTGTTCACCATGATTCTCCTCCATGTGATCGAATTCTTCCTTATTCTCCATAGGGTTGTGATCTTCCCCTGCTGCATTTGGTCCCTCCATATTGTGATCACTGTCATTTGGATTATCAGCTTGGCCATCTCCATGGTTGTCATCATCCTCCTGGTAGTCTGAAACATGATGGATGCACGCTCCAGTATCATGAGTTAACATTCCATATACTTCACAAAATCCCTTCAATCTTTCGTACCGGAACTTGAGCAAAGTGTTGACCCTTGGAGAAATTTGGAAATTCTGCTGGAATTTGAGTGGGAGATCGACGTTCCAATTCAACTTGACACGAACAAACTCTACACCATTGCCTGCGTCTGGATCGGAATCTGTTTCCAGAACATTCTCCATACCCCAGCCAAATTGCCTGCAATGTGGTTAATCATCTGGTGAGTCAGATATTGGAGTGGGATTCCACGGATTTGAACCCAGAAGGGTATGAGATTCAAATCAAATTCCGACATTTCTGGACTCCATCGGCGCAGCAGCGTCATCCTTTCATTGAACGCCCATGGTCCTCTGTTGAGAATCGACTGCATCAGTTCCTCCGACGGAAAGAAGAACTGGTACATCCTTCTCTCGATAAGTCTTCCAGAGATTATCCCTTGGAGTCCCCACATGCGAGGGAAGGAGGCGAGCATCGCCCTAATGTTCTGTCTTCGGAGAATCAACGGACAGCCCATCAATGAGAACTGGTTAACACGGGCAGCCTCTCTACACACCGTTGTTGGTAACGCCACCGGTTCATCATCAGCACCCAAATTGATGGCCCTGCGAAGGTTATCTGCCATTAGGAATGAAAGCAGTAGGAGACAAGTAGAAAAGAACAAAGGTTTTGCAATTGCTAAGAGATACGAAAGATTGTATTGGAGTAAGTAATTGGGTATGGCGAATATAATCTCTTAGATCTGCGGTTTCTTCCCAAAATCTCGTTGTAGTGGATCACGTTCCCGTAGCGGTTGACACAAACCACTTTCCCATCACAGATAGCCACTACGCCACCCATGGAGATGTTTGAAACAAGGAAGAAATCGCTTGAAAGCCATTTCTTTCTGGTCTCGTCATACGGAAAAACCGTCTTTTTGTCGACGGTTTCCTGTCGGAGAGGAGATTCGAAAATCGCCTCAGAGAGAGACTTTTTTTTAGTTGATTTTTTGGTTGTTATTGTTGAGCCAGGACTGTACTGTTATTGTTGTTTCTCTTTTTTTGTTTGTAGTTAGGGCATTTTCAATGTAGAGACCTCCATTGGCTCCAAATCAATTTTTTATTAATATTTGATCATAAAGTGGTAGAAACTGTATGTAGAAACCCTCATTTGTGGTGGGTGCAATGGGAGAGACGCATTTGGGTTTTTAGGAAGAAATTTTTTTTTTAGAAAATAAAGAAATATGTTTTAATAAGAAGTACATTTTATTCAATAAAACTCATGTAATACATTGAAATGGGAGAAATAAACATACAACATACAAATTTTATAAAAAATTAAGTAATATTTTGAGTGAATCCAAATTTCTGCCAGATATGCTCCAACAAATCTGCCTGTAAACGATCATGTATTTTTTTATCACGAACTCTCAACCGATTATCCATCAGATTTCGGATATTTGTTGCCATAGTTGTTGCGTACGACTGACCTTCTTGTGTACTACTAGTTCCTTCTCCTTGTTGAAATTCCGAAAAATTATATTGCGTGCGTGCATCTCTCTCGTCTTCAACTATCATATTATGGAGGATGATACAAGCTCGAATAATTTTGCCTATTTTAGCTTTATCCCAGAAAAGAGCCGGGTTTTTAACAATTGCAAACCGAGATTGCAAGACTCCAATAGCACGTTCGACATCTTTTCGAACGGATTCCTGACGCTCAGCAAATAAAGTAGCTTTCTCACCTTGTGGAAGTGGAATTGATTTGATGAACGCTGCCCAATTTGGATATATACCATCGGTGAGATAGTATGCCAGATTGTAATTTCTTCTGTTGACAGAAAAATTTACTTCAGGGGCTCTACCTTGTAAGATATCATCAAATACGGGTGAACGGTGTAGAACATTTATATCGTTTAGTGTACCTGGAGATCCAAAAAAGGCATGCCAAATCCAAAGGTCATATGAAGCGACAGCCTCTAAAACGATAGTTGGTTTTCCTGCCCCACGAGTATATTGTCCTTTCCAAGCGGTTGGACAGTTCTTCCACTCCCAATGCATGCAGTCTATGCTTCCTATCATTCCCGGGAATCCGCGTTCTTCTCCAACGTATAGTAAACGGTTTAGATCCTCCTGTGTTGGTCTCCGCAGATACTCATCCCCGTACAAATTGATTATTGATTCAACAAAATTTTCCAAGCATGACCGAGCAGTTGTTTCACTGAGCCTAAGATACTCATCGACCGTATCAGCTGCACCACCATATGCCAACAGACGGATTGCAGCTATACACTTCTGTAGTGCAGAGAGTCCTGGTTTCCCCAAAGAATCTCTCTTCTGACGAAAGAATCTAACTTCATTGGAAAGTTTTTCGACAATACGGACAAACAAAGACTTGTTCATCCTAAACCTCCGTCTGAAATAAGTTGCAGGATATGTAGGAATATCACTAAAATAATCGTTCCACGGACGATTGTGGCCTTCCTGACGATCTCTTTCAACGTAAGCCCTTCTTTGTTTAGGTCTGCTTGTCTCTTGGTCCTCTCCATAACTGTTGAACATATTTTGGAAAGTTTCCTGAAAATATTGCTCGAACCTTTTGCCCATATAGTTGCCCATACAGGTCTCCATATTTTGCTCACCATAACCATCGTTTTGATTATCTTCTGGGTTATCATTTGGATTATTTGATGATGAGGCCATCCGGTTGGTTCCGGGGATTAAAAATATGTAAAGAAAGGGTTTAGGTGAAGGAGTTGGAAAAAACTAAACTTGGAAGAAGTAGAATATAAGCAGAAATAGAGTAAAAGCAGAAACTATGAAGAAGTGTTTTTCTAACTTGAGGAAAGCAATGGTTTTATAACATTGTCTCGGTTACATTCAAAGGTTTGGAAAAAAAAGAACAATTCATTTGTGGTCTACAATAAAAGAGTACTAAAAGACATAAAATGGACTGCTTTATTGTCCACTCAAACGATTCCCTGACTCTGAAAATAGTTGTGTCCAACGCATCCCTGACTCAGCATTGCTGTTTGCATACACATCCCAAATATTCCCTGAAAAAGAAAAGAAAGCATAATGGTCGAATATAAGAACAACATAATGCGAGATATTTACTTGAAAACAACAACATAATGCTCGAATATCATAAGAACAACCAAAGCAAGACATAATCATACAATCACAAGTACAAACCTAACTAATCAGAGAATAGTTCTTGAACAAGCTTCTTCTTTACAGTTTCCTCATAATCAGCTAATGGCTCCTTCCTCGCCATTAGAGTGTCAAGTAGTGCCATTTTATTAAGCCTTTCTTGCATGGCCATCTCCTTTTCCCTGATGACCCACATTCCCTCGAACTCACTTAGCGTCTTCCCTTCAGGGTTAGTTTTCTTGGTCTTCGCCTTTGTCGCCTTGATTCCAATAGGCCGAGTGCTAGGTTGTCCTTGTTCACCAAACCTTATTTCCTCCACTTCAGCAGTCGGTGCATTTGAAACAGCATCAGTTCTTCTTTTTTTTTGAAATCCCATCGGTTTTTGCAGTAGAAAGTTCAGACCATTTCTGGTCATTTCGCAACTCCTTCCACGCGTGTTCTAAGTTGAACTTCTTCTTCTGATCTTGGAAGTATATTTGGTGAGCCAGCTTGAGCACATCATTGTCGTTCATACCACTGGTCTTCTCTCGCGTAGCTGTTTCAAAGGCTCCGCAGAACTTGCACACAATGTCGTTGATCTTGTGCCATCTCTGCTTGCATTGCCCTGATTCGCGTGTATATCCAGCTTCGCCTCTTTCATGTTGTCAGCATAATATAGTGCGATCCTCTTCCAGAATGCACAAGACTTTTGCTCATTACCCACAACTGGGTCTTTGTTTGTGTTAAGCCAAGCGCTTATGAGGAGGACGTCCTCATTCGGTGCCCAAGTTCTTCTATCGCCGCGCTGACTGAGAGTTTCATGAAGGGAAGCAGGTTGCGAACACTGCGTGCTAAATACAGGGAGTTGCTCCACTGAGGGAAAGCCATCATTGAAAGATGGCTCTTGTTGACTATTTAGTAGGTCAACAAAGTTAGCCGGTTGTGAATATGGATATGAATCCATTTGAAAAAGTTTAGAAACGAATGAAAGAGATATGGAAGCGAGATGAAAGAGGCTGAAAGAGTATAGAAACGAGTGAAAGAGATAAGTAAAAGAGACTTGGAAGACTGAAAGCGAGAGCCAAAGTAAAGAGGATAAGGAATAATAGAGGAAGAATGCGGATAAATAGGGTTTAGAAGTGGTAGATTTAATGACAAAATTAAAGGAAGTTAAAGCAAACGACCTACCAAAATATCACACAAGTTCGACATGACACAAACCTAAAAGGCAATGAACACCATTATATCACTTTAATTCCAAAATTTAATCAGCATTTATGACAACCTAAAAGCCAAACCCATTTCTTTCTAATCACTAATGACAACAACCAAAGAGTAAACTAAATGCCAAACTTACCGTTAGAAATGAAGTCGGAGAAAGTCTCTTGTTTAACCAGCTTCTAGTTAGACCTGAACCAATAGCATCACACGGTCAGCTGATAAGAAAACAAACATATAAAAGAATAAAACTGTCAGCGACTATTATAGAACAGCTAAATAGAGAAGATAAAGAGAAGATAAAGAGAACAAGAACTTATCTGCTTCAGTAATCCCAAAAAATGGCTAGGATCCTGTCATTCGAACTCACAGACTACACTTCGATATAAGAGACAAGCGAAACATAGATTTCCAAGCACCAATACAAACGACACAGTAATCCGATAGCAAACATTCATTAAACCCAACCATCATAGTCAACAAAGTCAGATAGCAAACATTCAGTGATCAGCCTAAACAACTCGAATGTCAATATGCTAAATCCCATCGCATGAAAACACAAGTGATAACAGCAAAGATAACTAAAAATACAGCAAGGATCAAATCAGAACCTCGATTCTCAAGTGTTTCTTTCACACCAGCAATCTCACTCTGAATGTACCCGATGAACTCCTCGATCTCGGCAACAGTCTTCTCGACTAAGGTCATACGATCCTCCAAAGCGTAGAGCCGATTCTCATACGACTGAAGAAGGGTTGTTCTGTTGTCACTAAACATCCTTGAACTCTGCTTGTCAATGCGAATTTGGAGAATGGTGAGCTGCTCTTCAATGGCTTCATCCCACCATTTGCAGATGTGATCCGGCTTATCCTGCAGATTAGATAATTGAAGACATCATCCTTAATGACTTTCTTAGAATATAACTATACATTAAATGAAAACATATAACATCTTACCTCGCCCAGTCTTTCAGGACAACAATAAAACTTCCTCCCAAATGTTGCTGGAGCTGTAGACTCTTCAAGCCTACAACGAAGCCCACAGTAGCATCGTTCAAGAATCCCGAAGTCCCCATCAGCCTTTGCACATCCGCTATCAAAGCTTGCTTTGGACGATGAGCTGTTGGTATGGCTTATCGGCATTTGTCTGTAAATAACATGAATAAAACGTTTTCATCACACAAAAAAAAAATATACATACAAGTACAGAGTCGAAGATCAAACACACCGATGAAAAGCACATAGACTCTAAGGTCAAACAGACATATCAAAAGTACAAATCAAATCCCACAAACCAGCCAAACATATCTTCACCGAAGTCTAAGATGAAATGGACATGGCAACGATGAATCACTCAACCTCAAAATCACCTAAACCATAGATTTCTCCTTCAGATATCGTCTAATTAACAAGAAAAAACGAACAAAACAAATATATTTCATCCGAATACAAAAGCCCCAATTTTCAGTAACTAGGGTTTGCTCGCAAATTATGGACAAAGAGAGAATCAACCAATTCGTGAATCAAAAGTATATTTCCGGTTCAAATAGTACATACTGCAAGCTAATGTACCCGATATTACAATCTATACATGGAAATTTTATGACAAACGAAAACCCCCAATTTTCAAATTAGGGTTTCATCGCAAATCACCCTAAATCTGAACAATCTGATCCTCATTACAATAAGAAGACGGAGAATCTAACCGTAAAACATAGAGTCCTCGATTTTGAAATAAAACGAAAAAATACCATGGAATTGACCAAAGAACAAACAATAAGAGAGGAGTTTTAGGGTTAGAAATTACTTATCTGAAGCCTTTCCCTGACGAGTGGTCGCCGATTTCGGAGATGATGCGGACAGACGTCGCGATTCATCGAAAAGTCGATCGATCGGAGAAGCAGCACCAATTACGTGAGCCTATCATCAAACGCCACCTGTCCCGAGAAACGTCTTCAAATGTCCCGAAATAAGAAACGTCTCGGGCCAAATAGAGACGCGGCCCAACTTCTTTATTATTTCGTTTCTACTAAAAACGCAGCCCGTTTCTGTGTTGCGAATGCCCTTACTTGTTAATATTTCATTTCATTTTTGCTGATTTAAATTTAAGGGATAATTGGAAATATAAGACACAAAATGAAGAACATTGTCCCTTTAATATTTTTAATTGTCTCCTCAATACTTATATTAATGTTAAACCTGTTTTATCCCTAAAAATTGAACAAAAAAAGAAGAGATAATTGGAAAGATAGGACAAAAAATGAGAAATTTTGTCCTTTTAACACTTTTGAAATTTTTTTTGTCTCTTTAATACTTATCTATACTATTAAACTAAAAGTATGTTATGTGTCTAAACAGGTTTTACTTAATTTTCTATTATTATATTTTTTGATAACTTCTATTTATGTTACTATTTATGTTACTAAGCAAGTCAATATAATGTAATATTAATAAAATAATATATTTTTAATTTATATTTTAAAATAAATATGAAAATTTAAATTTGAATTTAGATTTGTTATAAATTTCCTTAAATATAGGTTATATTATTCATCAAAAAATATAAAAAAGTTATTATTATATTTTTACAAAATAATAAATCTGAAATTAATTTAGATTTAATTTAAGTATTCAAATTTAAGTAATATTTTCAATGACAAAAATAAAAATATACTATTGTATATATAAAATATATAAAATAATATAAAATAATATGATTGAACGGATTATAATTATGTTTAAATAATCACGATTCTTTTTAGATTAATATAAATGAACATGTTATAATAACGTTTTTATAATCGTTATACTTTCAGATTAATATAAACGGATATGTTAGAATAATGTTTTTCTAATCGCAGTCATTTATATACTAGAAAAAATAAATCATTAGAAACAAATTATATACATATATATATATATTATTTATTAAAAAATTATATCTAAACAAAAACAAAAACATAAATTATATTACAAAATTTGATAAATTATAAATAGTTCTCGTGTGGATGCACGGGATGGAATCTAGTGTTAACATTAAACCACTTTTACTCCTAAATATTGAATTACTTAATATTAACAGATTTTTTTTTTAAAAAAAATTACTTTATTTTGGAAATCTACGCACAACCAAACTATATAAAGCATTCTTTTATATTTAAATTTTTGTCACGAATTTTAACTTTATGCACAATCAAATTAGAAGTAAAACAAAGTATGCCAATTTTGATAATACTTACGTGTAACATAAGTCACAAAATTATTTCCTACGAGAAAATAATATTTTTCAGGAAGGTAAATAGCAGATCCCCAAATCAATTTAGGGTTCTTCGCGTTTTCATTTAACCCAGAACA